AATATTGTACTGGTTTCATCCTCTAGATGGTGTAGCAAACGCTTTTGTGTCCGACATTGCGAAACAATCTTTAGAAGCATACGCAATGCACAAACGCTACTCTGCAACCGACGAGTAGTATGTTGCAGTCATAACAGTATATGCGCGTACCAACCAATAAGGTAGCGAAGTGATATTGTATGCTCGACACTCACCAAAATTTGTTTTTTTGTAAGTATGATATGTACTTGAAAGGGGCATATACACAAATTCGTGCTGCTAAAGTGTTGTGTGGAAAACAAAATATCAGCACACCGCAAGTCATTGCAGGTGTCCTCTGCACATTCATAACCCGTTCTCCTTCATCCATAAAATGTACGAAGTCTTTATCGAATATACCCTCAAGGGTACCATATATTGATCTCTTTGTATACCTCTATTTCGGGGTTATATTCTGTGTCGTATCCTATTCATGGGTGTGCAGTGCGTGACTGCCAGTGTTTATAGATTGTACCGGAACCTTGGTAAAATATAAAGTGGTGACGAATTTTCATATTTTTTTTGGTTTTGACTATGCTGATCACACGCACTCGTGGGTGGGCCTTGGCAGGTATAATTTCCCGATCGAACGAACGAACGGCCCATTTTCTGAATTTTGGCTTTTCACCACAAAATATTTACAACCGTCCATGATTACTCATCTCTCACTCTATTATTTTTAGAAAAAAGCATAGTATATAAAACTCTACGATAGTCTGAGTCATGCACTGAATATATCACTGATGCACATGATGTGATGTTCCTACGTAGCCCGTAGGAAATGAGAAGTCTCAGGAATGCGGACGATGGACATACATTGTAAATAACAGTCAGTATTCGGTGGTATGGTCCGGTTCTATTTATAGACACTTCGTATGAGGCCTCTTTTAGTAGTAGATATTTATAAATATATATATACCATTGCATTAAAAGTCGGACCAACACATTTCAACATTTTGGGGTATATTTTTAGGAATACCTCCTCTCCTCAGAGTCCAGTCTGACCAGATACTATTAAATAGATCATTGATCTGATATTCTTATACCTAAATACCGCCAGTAGCGAGACAGTAAACATATGTAAATACAACAAATTCTATTGAACATAGTCCCTGCATTGCATACTCGTAGACTGTAGTCCCCACATCCCAGTTGTTCACGCTATTCTGTTGCATATATAGCTGTTGGCCTGTCGCACGTCGAGTACATTACATACACAGTCGATTTTTATCCTAATTTTTATTAAATTGGTACACCAACTTCTCAAGCGGGTTCTCAGATTGTGAACTCTGTAGAGAAGAACCGATCTCCAAAGTCACCCAGGCCTGGTACAATAAACTGCAATGTATATACAGAGGGGATTATTTAGTGTCAAATATTAGTGTATGTCAGTATGAATATTGGCTTACTTGCAGGACATCGATAAGTGAAATGGGTGACACCTTAAATTGATATTCAACACTGGCGCAAACCCATTACACGAAAGGTTTAAAGCTGATAAAGAGGTGTGCATCGAGTAATAAGAAGCACAACACACGCGCATAGCCACATGGATATACGAATGTTGTTTGGTACAATGCATGTGTTCGCTGTAGAATACTTTGCACATTTGTCTGACCCCGCTGAAATGTTCGTACCACAATGTCCATAGTTCGGACTTGTACTTTTCTATTTAGTCCTACCTATTGCGCAGTAGAAAAATACATACGACAGCGTGTTTCAAAGAATATTACAATCTCTCTCTTTGCGCTATATTGATGTGACTGCATCATTTTCTAATAAGCATGTTTGAATTATATGTGCAATTCATGTTTGGGAGGTACACTAAACATAGTAACTGTGATACCAACCGTGTCTATCGAACACAGCGCTTATCGATATAGCCCTGTTGCACACTCAAAGAGTGTGTTGTCGGGTAGTCGGTGCCTTGGTGTACAACATTGGGAACTGAGCGATGATATCAGTGATGCACGAAGTTGTAGAAGACGGCTTACCTATTTAACCTTGTCGCGCGCGCTGAGTAATATCGCTAGAACGACTTGATTGACCCAACCGACGAGGACGTTTACACGAACAAAAAATAGAGACATGCACACAAGCGTAGTGTCGTCTGGGCCTGGGCCTACAGAATTGCGTACCTCAATATACGTGCCAGAAGATACTAAACACAAAATCACTAGTGATCCGAGCCCGTGCCAAACCTACCCCTTCGCTGTCAACACCCTCGTCAACGTGCGTCGTGACTATCGTTATATCCGGATATGTTTCGTGCAGCAATTTAAGGCCTGTGGTGGTATCAAAGCAGAACAGTGACTTACAAGAGTACTGCCCAAAAAGACTCGGATAACGCGTAGAACAAGCGGCAAAAGTGAAGTCGCGATTTGACGATGGACAACAGTATCGTTTTCGATTGCTTTACGCAGCACTATGCCAGAGCAATGGATTTTTCTGCCGAGATAAATGAATGTACAGTCTAATACCTCTGAATGTGTACTTTGTTGTGAAACCCGTCTCTCTGACCCTAAATTGACACCTGTTATGAATGATCTGACACAGTCTATTTCATCACCGCGTTTTCCCGCATTGTCTTGATCTTCAAGATGTGCACCTTTTCGTAGTTGGTGACTAAACAAACAGGACACTCACACACAACTCTGCCCTTAGGGTAGTCATTTATTGAGCTTGCACCCGCACAATTGCCTCTACAACACTGGTGTGCTTGTTGCTTCATGGCATACGGGAGTGACCGCAGTACCTATGCGGAGCGATAGGGACAACGAACGAACGAAAGAACGAACACAGACGCACAAGGCACAGCATAATGCAACGGGTACATACCCTCAGGTGCGGCGAAAAGCGTCAGGAATATAATCCGTGATTGTTCCACCTTGTAATCTAGAAGTACCTCTATTGCTTTACACACGGACATCCCCGTGGCTGTGGGTGCGCGTGACAGTGAATCATGTTAGTCGTGTATGTGGCACAAGATTGGTAGCGTGCGTGCGTGCTATATTGCAGCGTTGTAGTGGCTACGTATAGTACAAGATTCAAATATCTACCACTCGTTGACTCTCCGTGAACCGCTGGTTCTGGACGCTGTGCGAGTGCACAATTAAATTCACGATAGCGTGCAGCGCGTATATAAAGCAAGACAAGGGCGCAGCCAGCAGTACACACATCTCTGCGCGCAAGCCGAATAGGTACAAAGCTCTGACGCTTCCAGTCTGCGTAGCAACTATGTGCGGATATATGTAAATGCAGGTATTCAGAGAGAATGGATGCTACTTGATAGTGCGGTGAGATATGGAACATACACTACACTACAACCCAGACATACCGACTAAGGGATCCAGCACAAACACGTGCCGTTCGTGCATGTCCTTCGGAAACTTCGCATAGTATATCTGTAATTGTAATTTAGAAACCAAATTAAAATCGTGAATAGTCGTATTCTGCTTGTCTGCTGCAATGACCACGTCTCGCCAACATACTCAAAATTTGGCCCACAGGCGAATTACTATCACACACGTCCATACTATTGACTGCTTGCAAGCCAAGTGCGCATCATCCGCTGCTAACAGATTCCTGTACATCATACATTCCGAGGTTTAAAATGTGGCTGGCACACATACTTTACGTTCACTGTTCGCATCTCTCGGGTCCTTTTGTACTAAGATTTTACCAATCCTAACATTGCGGCAACAGTCTCGGAAGCCATCCTCCATCGCTTCTCCCGCTCTCATTATACTCACCCCACAGATTCTACCCAGAAATCGAATACCCTGGTACAATAGTATCATACAAAGTAAAAAACATTGCCTACAAATGAGTTTAAGATCATATGTAAACACTTACAAGCATATACGAGTGAGCACGAACCATTGCGTGCATCTGAGTATAAGGTCGTATGTAAACACACGCGAGCATGTACGCAGTGAGTAGCAAACATTGACAAAAGGATTGGAACAGTAGATACCCTAGACCCGCGAGCATCAAGCCAAAACACACAAACGCCAGGCTTGAAGGTACTTCGAGAGATTTTTCTCACCAGGGTATTTCGAGAATGTGAGTGGGCATTCTGTCCACAGCCCGGCACATACTTTGAGACCGACAGATCACCTCACAATAACCGTGGAACTTGATCAGAGTCCAACAAACAATTGCAGCCATAGTAACAATCGTTAGCAACTAGACGGACCCTACTAGAATCTAATTAAACACGGTTTGCAGTACGCACAACCTATCGGCATACCTTATATTCTGCATTTGAGTGCGTTAAACAGCTAGCCTCGTCAAACGGCAATAAGTTCAGCGCTTCTTCGCACAATAACCGCACCAGTCGACGGGAATAGAATATGAAATCGCCCCTCGAGACTTCTCTGTCTCTGATGATTGTCTGCAGCTCTTTCAGCGCATCCGTGGATTCTAAAACTACAACCTGGGCATTAAAAGCATACACTTGCATGTTAAAACCGTTTATCTTCGTGCACAACAAGCTACTTCGCACACAATAATGATGAATTTTTCTTACAAAGGAAGCTTCAGCCAATCAATATGATTCTGTAACTAATAATGGCACGGTGGTAGCTAAATTGTTATCGATTAACCAAAATATAATGTCGTATAGTTCAGGTCGACAATTCAATGTATCACATGTGAAATTACTCAAAATGATTATATATTACAAATAAACATATATACCTATATCAATATGCATGTATGTATGTATATATTAATATATATATATATATATATATATATTTATATATATATTCTGTTAGTTTATTATATTATTATATATATATATATATATATATGTATATATATATATATATATATGTATGTATGTATGTATGTAAAACGATGAATACGATACACCCCTTCGACGTGCACTCGCTTTCTTGTAGCTATTTATGCAATAACCTCCCCCCCCCCATCGTCCCGTTGATACATATGCGTCGCTTATCTTACAAGGGCATGTCATCGACGGCGTTGCAGCGATGTTGTACACCTGATTTCTTTGATTTGTCTTAATGATTCCAACGTACCTGTGCATGCTTCAGTACAGACTATTAACTTTGACTTTCACGCACATACATACAGGATACCTTACCACCATTTTGGTGGCCATCTCAGCTATCTCCATTCTATCGTACATCATCCCGGTAAGTCGGATCATGATTTGCTGTATGTGCTATTGAGTAGTTATTGTGGGTTGTGGGCTTTTCATGAGGTTATAGTATGCTATAGTATTTGTCATGCTAGAACCTAAGAAGGGAAACAGGATGCAGGGTTTTGAGAAATAGAAACACATGCGGTTCTCTGTTCGTACTTTTAATACACTGTGGCCACATTCATACATTCATACACATGGTCGTGTACCCTCTAACACTAACGAATAGGTCGAGTGTACAAATAGGATATGGTGCTGAATGCGGTAGCTGTGGTTTGTTGTTGTGATGGGTGGATCTCGTGTTGTTGGGTGACAATCGAGTATAGCGGGCGTATTGCCTGGATAGTCGGGTGTATTCTGCTTCCACATATCTTCCAATATGTGAGGGTGCGCATCCTGGTTCCGTGCTCTATGCCCGGGTTAGTTTGCACCCATGAGCCGATTTTTGAGTATAAAGTGTGAGTCTTTATGTATCTAATACCTTTATGTATTGAAAGTATTTCGATATAGAGGACTAGTCTTAGTGCACAATGACATGCTTTCTTTGGTGGGCTAGAATATATAAACAGGTTGGCTACCCCGTGAATTAGCCGTCCAGACTCAACATATTCATAGTATTGGGTCCCGAACCCCCGCAGTTTGCGACTGACTTTCACAAAACATTGCCAATATCATCTCCGTCCCTGTGCGCAATCAGGTTCTGGTGCAGTCCTTCATCTTCAAGGAACAGAACTTCAAAGAAAAGTATGCGGCCACATGGGGGCTTGTGACCGGTTCCAGCTCGGGGATTGGCCGATCTATTGCCGAACGTCTGGCCTCACAGGGTATCAATGTGGTGCTGGTGGCCCTGGATGACGATGTGTTTACTAAGACCCTTACAGTAGGTCCTATACTTTCATCTATATGTTTATCTTTAAAGTTTGTTCTATGCGTGTCTGTGGGTGTATGTATGTACTTGTACGAGAATCTGCATGTTGATCACACTTGAAGGGGGGTCTTCACTATTATCCTTGCGGTATACACTATACTTTCAATGGTTTTTTAAACGTTAACTGTATATATTTATGTATATATACGTCTTGCACGAGAATCTCCATATATAACACACTAATGAGGAGGTTGTTTACTAGGTCTTTACTTGTATTTGTTTTATCTTTAGCATGAGCTCTATGCACTTCTATGTATGTACCCGTACGAGAATCTCCATGTATAACACACTAATGAGGAGGTTGTTTACTAGGTCTTTACTTGTATTTGTTTTATCTTTAGCATGAGCTCTATACACTTATATGTATGTACCCGTACGAGAATCTCCATGTATAACACACTAATGAGGAGGTTGTTTACTAGGTCTTTACTTGTATTTGTTTTATCTTTAGCATGAGCTCTATGCACTTCTATGTATATACCTGTACGAGAATCTGGATGTTTAGCTGACTTAGGAGGGTGTTACGCGCGTGTGGAATTTGATGGCGTATAGCAACATGTGGCCACTCATCCCGCGTTGCGCTCGCTGCGACCACACATGCTAGTCCACTTAGAAATACGCTAAGCATGTGCATACGTTGCATCTCAGTCAGCACACGTTTTTATGGCCATTCTGTATAGAAGGCTAGAGGCTCATTCACTGCACTGTACACCTCACAGGCACTACGCGCGGACTATCCCAGTGTGGAGTTCAGAGAAGTGCGCGCCGATCTGTCCGGAGGCAGCGGCGACTACATGAATGCGATTAAGGCCCGAACGGCCGATATTGGTATGTGTACAATGGACAAATAGTATATTTGTATATATATATATATAGTACATGCGCTTCATATGTATTTAGGTAGAAAAAGATTGCTCCGATATGCCTGGTTCTGTCTATTGTGTTGTGTTCGCGCACTATGAGCTACCGTATGCAAGTGATGAGCACTTGCCACTCCCTTCGCCCTAGTCACCTTCCTTACGATCTCATACCCCCACCTGTACCGCAGACGTCAACCTGGTCTTCAACAACGCGGGATACATCATTCCCGGCCTATTCGCTGACCTGTCCATCGAGGGACAGCTGAAGAACTACGAAGTCAATTCCACATGCGCTCTGAAGATCACTCACCACTTTGTCAATGACATGCTCAACAAACGCATCAACGGACTGGTTACATTCACATCCTCATCGGCTTCGTACATCCCAGGTGAGTTCTAGAATCTCCTCGGGGGAGGACATGTTTTGTTTAGCGTCAGTAAACGTTTATAACTGCCGGATATGAACCTGTGTATAGAAGCTTCAAAACGCTATCAAAATGTCTCCAGATGTGCTTATAATCCACGAACAGTCTATAATCACTTGCTTGATGTGAACATATAGGCATTCATATATACATCCCTAGTCGTGCTTTCACTAAACAAGAATATATAGATGTATTTTGTGTGGATGCCGGTGTTTATGTATACATCTCGGATTAGAGATTGTATGTTCAGGTTGAAAACTTTGTTCGGTTTGTTATAAAATCTATGTGATTCGGAAAGATAAGTTCTGCAGATGTACCAGTACCATTGGTGGCAAGAGGATCCGTCTGAAATTCGCTTTACGCATCACACTGCCCAACTTCACGAAACAAGCTGTGTGTTTTTAAGTATGCGCGAGTTATTGTAAGCTGGTTGTATCGACCCGCTTTACTGTTCCGAGGGCTTGTGGACAAGCGACATAGCACAGTCTTTATATGGCGTAGTAGTGCCGGTGGTGTCTGGCCTGCCAAAGTATAGGCTAAAGAATACATTGAGTGTCGGTTGTCGAAACAATGCCGTACCAGAACCAGTTATGAATCTGTTCTGCAGACGGTTGGTCTAGTACGCTGTTGGTAGTGCGCAACTGTTTGTGACTTCAAGTTATTGGATGCGAGTCCCGTCTAACGTAAAGGGATGGGCTAGAAGAATGCTTTCATTGGTTGTTAAGAATTTTTTACCCACTGATGACAATTGGTGTAGCTGGCAATATTCGAGCTCTTGGCGTTGGCATGTTCAAAGGCACAGCAGGTGCCACGTGAGCCAGTACGATTCTCAGACTACCTCGTATCCCAATTGGTACACCACCAATCACATGGTTGGCCCTATACATATAGCCTGGCGGCTTGACTCGACATTCAACGATTCTGATATCCGCACATACTCACGTAATGGCCACAGTAAATGTTTGAATTGACATACTGCATACGGACAACAACAGTGGGAGTGTTTATACATATTTATATATATATAGCTTCTCGGTATTAAATGTTTAATATATGTTTCCTCTCTTTGCCAACGGCGGTCGTGGCTAATCTTCTCCTTACTTGTTGCAGGTCCTATGGCTGCCATATACGGCTGTACGAAGGCCATGATCACGCACTTCGCCACTTCATTGGCCGCAGAGGTGCAGTCCAAGGGCATCGATGTGCTGGTGGTTCATCCCTCGCCCATTAACAGGTACGTATGAGAATGTGGTGTACGTCCGCGGAGAGGAGTCTTGATAGTGCTGTGTAGTGTGAGCCGAGGGGGATAGCAAATGACACATCGGTCACTTTGCAGTGAGTGTAGTAGGTCGTCTTGGCTATACTGATCCTGGTTACAACTGACGCCTGGTCTACGATGACTGTAGTCTCTGGCCAGGCTACTGTCTCCTACAAACACTGAATAGGATTATCAGGCGTGTTTGTTTACATCAAGTCACGCAAATCTGCACTCCCCTGTAATGGCTAGAGGTGTAGAATAATTAAAACACTGTTTCAACCGTACCAAAGATAGCACTTCACATCATATGCACAACACCTGCAACTTTTTCCTATACTTATCTACGGCCCCTTCTCCTGCACAATCCAGTGGTTTCTACAACAACGCTGGTACTATGGAGTCGCTGCGGTTCTTCCAGAAGACGGCACGCTCGCCCGATGTGATCACAGACTGTGTTTTCACCAGCGCCGGTCGCATGGTGGTGCGTGATCAGGGCTACTTCTCCATCGGCAGCAAACTGATGCTAAAGGTAAGGCGTTGATGGGGGGCGGGTCTTGGTTGGAGGTCTTGGTAGTGGTGTTTGTTTGGGAAGGCTTGCTTATACACACGGAAGAAATGTTTTAGGATACGAAATGTTTCATCTCTCCGATATTTTGTGAGCTGGTTGTGAGTGAATGGTAGGGGGCATCAGTGTGTATGGTTGCACCGTACAGAACTATACGCCTAGGCCATGTTACTTCGAATTGTGAACATGCTCATATCTGCAGTTTATATACTCAAGTGATGGAGTTTGTTGCCAACTGTTCCCTTCGGTCGTTTGTTCGCCATCGTAGGCTACGGAGGAGTTTTCCCGGGTATACATACCTCAGCACGAAGACTTAGCCCACAGTCCGCAAGAGCCTCAACGAGCTACGCTTGATATACGTTGAAACATTGTTAACAGTTGTCCTAGCTATATTGAACAATATAGTCGGATGTATGAACCATATCCACTCACTGTATCATAACCATTGGTAGAGTGCTAACCTTTCCAACGACCGGTTTGTTTCGGTAGGTATTGGACTTCAATGCGCTGACGGAGTGCATCCGCTACGGTATCGCAACATCAGGCGATTTCGTCACCATGGCGACCCAGCGCAAACGCCCCGAGACGCCGTTAGCTTCTGCCACGGCTGGAGGACAGAACTGAAATGGAGCCTCTGGGTTAAAATGTACGAGAGATGTCCTATGAGAGAAAACTGATCACTCGTGCACACACACGGGGTACCTGACACCCCACAAACGCACATCGGCGCAACGGTTTATCTGTGGTAAACCTGCGCACACGCCCAGCCACCCAGGCAGAGAGTTGCAGGTGAGGGGCCCAGATCACAACTATAGCAACCGATGGCCAATGACTGATATGGGGTGGCCTATTACTGGGGGAGTGTCTATGGAGCGACCGGTTGGAGTGATAGTCCTGGTGTGGGATGTATATGTCTGATGAAACAATCGTTAGAATGTGATGAGACTGGTAGTAAGCTTAGTAGTGGTCTATACTATTCTTTCGACCGGCGAAGGTGAATAAAGGTCACCAAATCGAGTACACTCGAGATACCAGTGATGTATTCGTTGGCAAGCACGTAGTTCAACTGTTTTGAAAAAGCAGCTGTGCAAATGCAACACGCGCGGCAAACCGGTTAGTCGATGCAACCTTCCATGGCAAGGTAATCGTATTTCACGAACAATCTATATCTGATTGAGTTTTCAGGATTTTATCATGTATGATGTGTATGTCCTAAATCCGATTGAAGGTCTTAGGGTTTTATCGTGATATATATCCTAAATCCGATTACGGGATACCACCTTTTGTATGATATATGACTTCCTCTGGTGGCCCCTGTTGTTGACTGATATCGGCAACTGTCAACTGTGGCCTGGATCGATTTCTACTCAGAACCGACAGTGCGGGTTGAGTGACTTGGGCTAAGTTTTTCGTCTTACTTGCTGTTGCTGAGTGTGCGTGTAATGTGAATCAGGACCGACAGTGCGGGTTGAGTGACTTGGGCTAAGTTTTTTGTCTTACTGTTGCTGAGTGCGCGTGTTGTGTGAAGTATATATGGGCAGTCGACTGCTCGGTAGCTCAACGAGTGTATTTGGTCTCTCGCCAGTGTGCGGATGTCGTTGGTTTCGCTGGACGATATTTCTTCGAGGTAAATATGTTTTACACAGAGGTACAAAAGGTATATTCCTTACACCCTCCACCACTCATTAAAAAGAAGCATCTATATGGGAATAAATACAGACATTCTTAAAAAAATCCGTTTAGATTGGGTGCGGCTCATCAATCAATAGTGGAGTGAAGGGCAAAACCATTCCCGAAGCTATCTAGATCTACACAACGGAAGTGGCTTATCCTAAGGCACAAATAAGCCTGGGCTTTTTTGTGCCCTCAAGTTGGGGTGTTCGCGTGCGTGTGTGTGTGTGGTACTAATATTTATTATTTTATTTCGGACACATGTTTGTCTTATGTTGATACATATGCCGTACTACTCTATCGCACAGCTGTCGCTAGAATATCCTTCCGGGCGCTCTCATCCCCTCTGCCTTCCGCGTACCTACTGTATCAGCCATAGATGCGTGTGTGTGTGTGCGTGCGCGTGATCCTAATATTTATGCATTGTTCGTCGCTCTCTATTCGGTGTAGCATGCAAACTACTGAAGTATTTTCCTGAGTGTTTCCAGCTCTTCTGGCTTCATTGTGTTGCCCAGTGATGATTGCAACGCTTGAGCGTTCGCCTGCGCCAGATTCTGGAAGGTGCTCACTAGATGGGCCTGTAAGCAGAAAGTTTTTATTTTGTTCATTTCAAATTATACAATATATCACAAAAGTAGGTTAAACTGGTATATAG